GGCCTTTGTTTTAAAGTCTGTTTTGTCTGATATGAATATTGCTACTACCACTTTCTTGTCGTTTCCATTTGCATGGAATATCGTTTTCCATCCCCTCATTTTCCATCTGTGTGTGTCTTCAACCCTGATGTGAGTCTCTGGTAGGCATCATATTATGGGTTCTTGTTTTCTTATGCAACCTGCTCCTCTGTGTCTTTTAATCAGAGCATTTAGTCCATTGACATTGAAAGTAATTATTGATAGGTATGTATTTGTTGCCATCTTAAACCTTGTTTTCCAGTTATTTTTGTAGTTCTTTTCTGTTTCTTCTTTTTGTTTTTACTTTTGTAGTTTGATGATTTTCTTTTATATTATGCTTGAGTTCCTTTCTTTTTGGTTTTTGTGAATCGATTGTATGTTTTAAATTTGTGGTTACCATGGGGTTCAAGTATGTTGACCCATAACTATACTTGCTTTAAAGTGATAGTCATACAAGTTCAAACACATTGTAAAAAAAATCTACATCTTTAGAGTCCCCCCTCTCACATTTTTTTATTTTGATGTCATGTTTTACATCTTCATGCTTATTCTTTTGCTGTTCATTGTAGTTATAATTGCTTTTACAAAAATATTTGTAATTATTTTTTAATCTGTGTACTAGCTTATTTAAGTGGTCTTCAATCCTTTTATATATTGGCTTTCCCATTGTGATTTTCCCTTACCTATAGATTCTTGTTTCTCTTTTATTTAGAGAAGACCTTTCAATATTTCTTCTAGGGTAGGTTTAGTAATACTGAATTTTTTTAGTTTTTGCTTGTCTGAGAAATTCTTTCTCTCTCCTTCTATTCTAAATGATAATCTTGCTGGGTAGAATATCCTAGGTTGCAGGGTTTTCCCTTTCAGGACTTTGAATATATCATGCCACTCCCTTCTGGCCTGCAGAGTTTCGGCAGAGAAATCAATTGATAGTCTTATGGTGGTTCCCTTGTAATTAACTCTTTGTTTTTCTCTTGCTACCTTTAGAATCCTCTCTTTAACTTTTGCCATTTTAATTATGATGTATCTTGGTGTGGGTCACTTTGGGTTCATCTTGTTTGGGACCCTCTGTGCTTCCTGTGCCTGGATATCTGTTTCCTTTTTCAAGGTTTGGGATGTTTTTAGCCATAATTTCTTCAAATATATTTTAAATCCCCTTTTCTCTCTCTACTCCTTATGGAACCTCTATTATGCATAGTTTGGCATGCTTTATATTATCCCATAGTTCTTATAGGTTATCTTCATACTCTGTTCATTTGTCTTTCTGTCTGCTGTTCTGATTGAGTGATTTCCATTATTCTGTCTTCCAGATCACTTACACATTCTGTGTTATTTAGTCTGCTATTCATTGCTTCTAGATTGGTTTTTATTTCAGCAGTTGAGTTGCCTAATTTTGATTTGGTTCATCTTCATAGTTTCTAGTTCCTTGTTACAGTGCTCTGCATTTCTATTGATAATCTTTCTTAATTCCTTTAGCATTTTTATAACCTTCTTTTTGGACTCAAGGTCTAGTAGACTGGTGAGGTTTGTTTCAGAAATTATTTGTTCTTTCAGGGGATTTCTCTTGTTCTTTTAATTAAGAGTAGTTCCTCTGCTTTTTCATTTTACTTAACTTTCTCTCTGTGAGTTTAGGAGAAACATTTATCTACTGTGGTATTGAAGGGGTGTTTTTATGTGGGAGCATCCCTGTGTAGACTCTGTGAGTCAAATATTTTTGGTGTGTGGGCTGGTTTTGGTGTGGGTGCCAGCCATGTCTTTCCTTAGCATTTGCTGGCCATTAACCCCTTAATAGGGGTTGTGATTGGTGTTGAAGCATCTAGAAACTGGGCTCTGTGGTGGGCAGGACCTCCTCTTTGCTCTGAGGCTATCACATCTCTGTTGGGGGTGGGGTCTGCTCCACAGCTGTTGGAGTAGAAGCCCTGAAGTTTGTGTTTGATGAGATTTCATTGCCATTGAGTGCATGCCCTGCCCCAAAGGAGGCGACTGTTGGTGCAAGTGGGGCCTGTATGGTCACACTGAACCCATGCACCGCCTAGGCAGGCATCTGCAGTTCCTCTCAGACTCAGTGCAATGTTGTGTCCCTTTCTCTGTTGTGTTTCACTCCAGACCTAGTGGTAGGCTCTTGTGGAGTGGGCTGTGGCTGGAGGCTGGGGTGCTGTGGCTGCAGGATCAAGGTGGTTGTGCTGCTGCCTGGGACCTGGGCTGCCTCTGTGGCACACCTCTCCCAGGACCTGTCCACCCCAATTCCAGCTCCAAGCTGAGGTGTGGAGTGGGCAAGCCTGGAGCATTCCCACTGGGAAATGAACCACTGCATGCTGCTGCCCAGGGCCTTTCCACCGAACCTCAATGCCCAGCCACTGTGCACTTCTGTGATACCACCTGGTGTGCACACTGACAAAGTGTGCCACAGCTGGACTCCCCCCTCCCTGTGTACATTGACAGTGGACTCCATGTTTCAGCCTGGACCGCACCCCAGGCCATCAGGGCTGTCTCCACTGTCTCCACACAGGTAAATGGAGTCCTCTCCCACATCCTGTCTGCCCAAGATTCAGCACTTAACGTGTTTTTGGTCCCACTTGGCGCATGCTTCGGATTGGGAAGTGAGGTGAGGCTTGGGAAGTGCAGCAAGGCATCAGCCACCAGCACTGGTCCCTTTCCATCCTGATTGTTAGGAAGCCAGCATGCCTGCACTCCTCACAAATATAGTCTAGGCTTCCGCATCCCCTCTGTCTGTCCCAGCAGATTTCCCAGCTGGCAGGGGCCTCCCCAGGCAAGGGTCTGCCCGTGTGGGCCTTCTCTCCTTTACAGATCTCTCCCAGGGGCACAGGTCCTGTCGCTTTTTTTTTTTTTTTTTTTTTTTTCCCCTGTCCTACCCAGTTACATGGAGATCCTTCTTGCAGCTTTGGTTATGTGGGAGATCTGCCTGTTTCCAGTTGGTTTTCTATGAGAATTGTTCCACATGTAGATGTATTTTTTATGTGTTCGTGGGGAGAGGTGAGCTCCTACTCTGCCATCTTGATCCCCCTCGTAACCTCTACTCTTCAGATAGGATGATCTATGTGAAAATTATTTTTGAGTTATAAATCTACAAAAACATGTTTTATTATTATAAAGCAATATGCTAACATTAATTCATCTCATGTCTGACCAACATCTGCTATGTGGGAACCCTTGAGCTAGGTGTTAGATATAGACAGGACAGAATAGAATACTCTTCTCTTCCTTGAACTTATATTTCTTTATTGTAGTTTGAGAGAGGATTAGCTTTATGTAACACTAGTATCTCACTAGTGAGTCCATTGCTTGTGATTTATTAATTAAACCCCACCAAATCACTTGCTGGTGAATTGCTTCAAGTATTTCTGTTTCTGTATTCATACACTTGAATATTTGAATCTAAGTGTATCATCTTAACTCTGATGACCCATTAAAATCCCCTAGGGGGCTTCCCTGGTGGCGCAGTGGTTGAGAGTCCGCCTGCCGATGCAGGGGACATGGGTTCGTGCCCTGGTCTGGGAAGATCCCACATGCCGTGGAGTGGCTGGGCCTGTGAGCCATGGCTGCTGAGCCTGCACGTCCGGAGCCTGTGCTCCGCAACAGGAGAGGCCACAGCAGTGAGAGGCCTGCGTACCGCAAAAAAAAAAAAAAAAAAATCCCCTAGGGGGCTATAAAAACATACTGCTGCTCAACTCCACCTCAGATCAACTGCATTTGGATCCCGTGTTTTGGATGGGAGACTAGTTATCAGATTATCAACCTTCCCAGGTGATTCTAATGCATATAGCCAGGGTCAAGAAATACTGCCATTATCCTGAGTGTTTTGGGAGGATGAAGAGACACCTTACTGCATCATTTTCCTGGTACTATTCTACAAGAAATTCTAGTCTATAAAAAGTAAATCACTTATTTAATATTCCTTGTTTTTAATGAGCATATGTTGCTTTCTAGTGTTCATCACTTACTGCTTCATAATTAATTCAAGCACTACTTGTTTTCCTTAGTTCTGGTGTCAAGTATATTGATCTATAATTTCTGAAATCTCTCTATCTCTTTCAAAAATCAGAGTATTTGTGTATCTCCTGGCATATGGTGTCTTTTCTATTTATTTCTCAAAGGATTTGGACCAATTTGTGGGAAAGTTTAGAAATTTTTACTCAGTGGCTTGGTATCCCTAATTAATATCTTGAAGTGCTTGAAACAATGATTTCTCTTGCTATTTTGTTTACCTTAGTATTTTGCTTAAGAAACCATTTGTTTCCAGAGTGTAAAGATAAATTTCAGCTTAGATCATGCATGAAGAAACTTGTTTTGAGTTAGAAGAGCCTATATTAATGAAGTTTGTACTGAATAAAATGAAAAAATAAAACAATCCTCTATTAAAAGATGTCCCTTAAATACTTTAAACCTGGTAAATTACCTGATTATTTCTTTTATACTTTTTAACTTACGTTCATTCGTGTGAGAACCGCCACAGGACCTTGGAGGCTGATTTGAATGTGTGCTGGGTTTTAGTCTGTTTCTCACTCCCTATGTGCCTGGATGCCCAAAGGCAAGGGGCAGGTCATAGTAGAATGTCCCTGTTACTTTATAAGGCAGACTGCTCTACCACTTATCATTCTACCCTCCATGCTCCAAGAGTAACTCCATGCTCAGCCCTCTCCACATCCCTACCCTGGTAATTTCAGAGCTACTGGAAATGAGAAGTAGCCCTCAACAAAAAGTCAGCAACAACACCTGATGAAGAAGGTAGAAAAAAGATAAATTGGAGTCGTTTCAATATTTTCTGATACTTCTAGATTTGTTTCATTTCTTTAATTTATATTTAATCTCTATCAAAATAATTATCTTCTATTGAAACAGATTTTGAGTCATTATATCAAAATAGTGAAAAAATTGGAAAAACGGTGCTCTTTTCCTTTAAATATGAGGAATCTTTCTCTCTGTTAGTATTTTGTTTTCAATGTCCTCCTCTTTGTTTCTTTCAGTAAACATCCCTGATGCAGCTTTTATTCAGGCAGCCTACCGAAAACGTGAATTGGCCAGGACCCAAGAGGACTATATTTCTTTGGATGTAAAACATGCCTTCACCATCTCTGGTATGAAGAAAAACACTGAATATCCTGAGAGTGAGCCTGATGATCATGAAAATATAATACCATTTACCCTGAAGCCTCAAACACTTAGACAAAAGATGGCTGAAAAAACAGGTACATATTTAATTTATTTATAATAAATGAACATTAAGGCATTTTTCATTACAATATAATTTATGATAAAAATATCCATAAAAACATAATGTAGTATCTCCTATTCTAAAGGTTGTTTTTTTAATACCAATTTACTGACATCATGGCTTCTAAAATACATGTCTGTATCAAAATGTTATCAAAGGGTACATGCAATAATAATGTTTACTGTTATCTGATCTCCACTTGATCTTTCTTGACAGGTTAAAAAATTTGTAGAGTTTCCTGTTTTTGATATTGAAAACTTTTGTTGTCACCTTTATAAGATTTTTTTTTAACATGGAAACGTCGGTAGGATTTTGGTGTCATGTGTTAAAATCTTCCCTGCTCTAGTAAAAAGTTTTCCTCGGGCTTCCCTGGTGGCGCAGTGCTTGAGAGTCCGCCTGCCGATGCAGGAGACGCGGGTTCGTGCCCCGTTTCGGGAAGATCCCACATGCCGCGGAGCGGCTGGGCCCGTGAGCCATGGCCGCTGAGCCTGCGCGTCCGGAGCCTGTGCTCCGCAAATGGGAGAGGCCACAACAGTGAGAGGCCCGCATAACGCAAGGAAAAAAAAAAAAAAAAAAGTTTTCCTCAACCAATAATCCTTAGGTATTAAAGAACTATTTTCACATTTCTCATTTATAAACAATAATGTTTTGCCAAGTTTTTGTCATTTCAAATAATACTATTTCAGAATGAGACTTTTGGTTCCTATTAACCCAGAAATTATTTTTGCATGTTTAGATTCTCAGGTAGAATTGAGAATCTCTGATAAAACCAAATGTTGCATTTTTTCCAAGCTTTTTCATATGTGAGACCATCATGTTTTGAGTGAGACAGTTTGGTGATAAATGCAGATTCTGAAGTCAGATTGCTAGATTCAGGTCCTAGGTTCAACACAGTCCTTAGATAGAGGACTGTGTTATGTAACATCCTGATATCTTAGTTTCTTTATTTATAAAGAGAGAGTGAATTATGAATTGTGAAGAAAAGGTTAACACATATAAAGAGCTGCTAAGCCATTTATAAGCTCCCCAATTGCTAATTGCTGCTGCTATTAGAATGGAAAAATATGGAATATTTATGCATGGACTTTTTTTTTCAAGCAACCAGAAATGAAGAAACAAGTGGAGATAGTGAAGAAGATAAAAAATATCAAGATATTTGGGAACAGCAGCAGATGAGAAAAGCAGTTAAAATCACAAAGGTAATAATCTTTTATGCCATATGTATTAGTTTCCTGTGGCTACTGTAACAAATCACCATAAACTTGATGACTAAAACAACAGACATTTATTCTCTCACAGTTGTTGAGGCTAGAAGTCTCAATTCAAGGTGTTGACAGGGCTGTGCTCCTTTTGAAGGCCCTAGGAAAGAATTCTTTTTTTTTTTTTCCTTCTTTTTCTCCCCTTTTTCTTTTTTTAATTGAAGTAGAGTTGACATAACAGTATTATGTTAGTTTCAGGTGTATAAGATAGTGATTGACTTTTAAATACATTATGAAATAAATCACCATGATAAGTCTAGTAACAGTCTTTCACCATGCAGAATTATTACAGTGTAATTGACTATGTTTTTATGCTGTATATCATATCCCTGTGACTTATTTTATAACTGGAAGTTTGCACCTCTTAATCCCCTTCACTTATTTCACCCTACCCCCATCTGCCTCTCCTCAGGCAACCACCTGTTTGCTCTTTCTGTGGATATTGTTTGTTTCTGTTTTGTTTGTTTCATTTTTTAGATTCCACATATAAGTGAGATCAAAGAGATTGTCCTTCTCTGTCTTGTTACACTTAGCATAATACCCTCTGTGTCCATCCATGTTGTTGCAGATGGCATGATTTCATTCTTTTTTATGGCTGAATAATATTCAATTGTGTATATATACCACATATTCTTTATCTATTTGTATATCAGTGGACACTTAAGTTGCTTCCATATCTTGGCAATTGTGAATAATGCTGCAATGAGCATAGGGTTGCATATAACTTTTCAAATTAACATTTTCATTTTCTTCAGGTAATTACCCAGAGTGGAATCGCAGGATCATATGGTAGTTCTATTTTTAATATTTTGAGGAATCTCCATGCTGTTTTCCATGGTGGCTGCACCAACTTACATTCCCACCAACAATGCGCAAGGGTTCCCTTTTCTCCACATCTTTGCCAACCCTTGTTGTTTGTTGTCTTTTTGATAATAACCATTCTAATAGGTGTGAGGTATCTTATTTTGGTGTTGATTTACATTTCCCTGATGATTAGTGATGTTGAGCATCTTTTCATGTTTCTGTTGGCCATTTGTAAATCTTCTTTGAAGAAATGTCTTTTCAGATCCTCTGTGTATTTTTTGATCAGATTGTTTTTTTTGATATTGAGGTGTATGAGTTCTTTATATAATTTGAATATTGACAATTTACCAGATATATCATTTGCAGATACCTCCTCACATTCAGTAGAGTGTCTTTTTGTTTTATTGATGGTTTCCTTTGCTTGTGCAGAAGGTTTTCAATTTGTAGTCTGATTTGATTATCTTTGCTTTTATTGCCCTTGCCTGAGAAGACATATCCAAAAAATATTGCTGAGACTCATCTTAAAGAGCATACTACCTATGTTTTCTTCTAGTTTTATGGTTTCAAAAAAGAGTTTTGTATATGGTATAAGAAAGTGGTCCAGTTTCATTCTTTTGCATGTAGCTGTCCAGTTTTCCCAGCACCATTTATTGAAGGAACTATCTTTTCCTGCCTTGTATATCCTTGTCACCTTTGTTGTAGATTAATTGACCATATAAGTATGGGTTTATATCTGGGCTCTCTATTCTGTTCCATTGATCTATGTGTCTGTTTCTGTGACAGTAACATACTGTTTTGATTATAATATAGTTTGAAATATATAGTGTGAAACCAGGGAGCTTGATATCTCTAGCTTTGTTCTTTCCCAAGATTGCTTTGGCTGTTTCAGGGTCTTTTATAGTTCCATATAAATGTCAAGATTATTTGTTCTAGTTCCATGAAATATTTCATTGGTATTTTGGTAGGGATTGCGTTGAATCTCCCAGCAGAGAATTCTTTCTTGCTTTTTGTAAGTTCTGATAGCTCCAGGTATTCCTTGCTTTGTGACTACATAACTTCCATCTCTACCTCCTTCTCCACATGGCCTTCTCTATGCCTCTACTTTGTGTTTCTCTTATGAGGATACTTGTCATTGGATTTAGGGTCTACTTGGATAATCCAGGATGATCTCATCTTGAGATTCTTCACTTAAGTATAACCACAAAGACCCTTTTTCCAAATAAGGTCATATTCAGAGGTTCCAGGGGTTAGGATATAGACCTATCTTTGGGATGCCATCATTCAACCCACTATACCATGTACATTATGTTCTTTTCCCACTAGATTATAAATACTTTCTACATATTGTAAGTCCCTTGAGGGAACCATCTTTTTTACTTTTAATTTTACAGTTATATGGTAGATGCCTAAATGTGAAGTTCAAACAAATAAATAGTGAGGGTTAAAACAAAACTAACAAACAAAAAAAAGTATTATACTTGGGGTGGAAAGTCCTAGATTTGAGTTGTCGCTCTACCACTAAAATACACTATCCCTGAAGTCAAGAATTATTAACTACGTTTTTCAGTGTTATATCCCATAGTGCCTAATATTGTGAGAGCTCAATAATTATTTGTATGACTTTGAAAAAATAATTTCATTTTTCTAAATCTCAGTTTTCTCATCAATAAATTGGGAATAATAAAGTGGGAATGATAATGTTACCTACCTGAGTAGGTGGCTGTAAGGCTCAGAGTTTTAATGGTCTGATCTAAGTCAAAGTGCTTATAAATTGTATAACAAATGCAAGTTTTATTTTTAATCTTTTTAATAGGAGTGCTTTGAAAGATTTTTTGTTCTTTTAAGCAAGAAAGTATTGTACGATCTTCATGTTATTAAAACTAAAAAGCTAAGTAAAAGTAAGCCTTGAGTTACAATTTAGAAGTCTCTGGGCCATTTTTTTTTTTTTAGTTATTTGCAATCTGAATTTTTTGCTATTAGTAAGAACTGGTAAATATTTGCTTGGTTTTTTTCCTTCCTTTTTTTTTTTTTTCTTTCTTTTGTTCAGATGTGTGTTTTTTGAACTTTTCTGTTAAGGTAATGGCCAAGCATGGTATTACTAATAAAGAAGATGAACATTTTTATGGCACTTAATACATTTTTCTCTGTTGTCTTCTAGAGAAAATTTAGATCACTCTGTAATGCCACTGTTATTATGGGAATGTTTTACCATAATCTTGCCAGCTTTAGGTATAAGTTCACTTGGTGTAAATGGAATCTCAAGTTTATTTGATTTGCATTTTTATTACTGATGTGGGTGCATTTACTGATTTCTTTATTAAAGATTTACTGCATGCCACTGTACTCGTTTCCTGTGACTGCCCTAACAAATTACTACAAAATGAATGACTTGAAACAACCAAATTCTATTTTCTCACACTTTTGGAGGCCAGAAGTCCAAAATCAAGGTGTTGATATGGCTACACTCCTTCCAAAAAGCTCTAGAGGATAATCTATTCCTTGACTATTTTAGCTTTTGTTGGCTGTTGGCATTCCTTGGCATATAGCTGTATCTCTCTACTCTATCTTCACATCACCTCCTCTTTTTGCATCCCAAACTCTCTCTCCTTCTCTTCTATGAGGCTACATGTAATTACAGTTAGGACTCATTTAGATAATCCAGGATAAGCTCCTATTTTCCAGAACCTGAACTTAATCACATCTTTTGCCATATAAGGTAATATTCATTCACAGGTTTGGGATTTTAGAACCTGGGCATATCTTTTGGGGATCACCGTGTAGCCTCTATAACTACTTAACAGTGGTAGACAAAAGAATGTACAGTCTTTGCAGGGGAGAGACAACTAAACAAAATAATTACAGTAAAATCTGTAATTTTACTCCTGTAAAATTACTCCTGTAAAACTCCTGTAAAACTACTCCTGTAAAACTACTCCTGTAAAACTACTCCTGTAAAACTCCTGTAAAATTACTCCTGTAAAACTCCTGTAAAATCTGTAATTTTTACTCCTACTTGGAGTAAGGGTATGTTCTTACTTCATTGATTTACATGTGGCTGTCCAACTTTCCCAACACCACTTCTGAAGAGACTGTCTTTTCTCCACTGTATATTCTTGCCTCCTTTGTTGAAGATTATGACCATAGGTACTCCTGTAAAACTACTCCTGTAAAACTACTCCTGTAAAACTACTCCTGTAAAACTCCTGTAAAATTACTCCTGTAAAACTCCTGTAAAATCTGTAATTTTTACTCCTACTTGGAGTAAGGGTATGTTCTTACTTCATTGATTTACATGTGGCTGTCCAACTTTCCCAACACCACTTCTGAAGAGACTGTCTTTTCTCCACTGTATATTCTTGCCTCCTTTGTTGAAGATTAATTGACCATAGGTGTGTGGGTTTATTTCTGGTCTCTCTCTTCTTTTCCATTGATCCATATGTCTGTTTTTGTGCCGGTACCATGCTGTTTTTATTACTGTGGCTTTCTAGGATTGTCTGAAGTTTGGGAGGGTTATACCTCCATCTTTGTTCATTTTTCTTCAGGATTGCTTTGGAAATTCTGGGTATTTTATGGTTCTATATAAATTTTACGATTATTTGTTGTAGTTCGGTGAAAACTGGTATGGGTAATTTGATAGGGATCAGATTAAATCTGTAGATTGCTTTGGGTAGCATGGCCTTTTTAACAATATTAATTCTTCCAATCCAAGAGCATGGGATATCTCCCATTTCTTTAAATCATTTTCAGTTTCCTTTATTAATGTTTTATATTTCTCAGCATATATCTTTCACCTCCTTGGTGAGGTTTATTCCTAAGTATTTTCTTTTTTGATATGATTTTAAAAGGGATTGTTTTTTTTCTTTCCCTTTTTGGTATTTCATTGTTAGTGTAAAGAAATGCAACCAATTTCTGTGTGTTAATCTTGTATCCTGGCTACCTTTGAATTTGTTTATCAGTTCTGATAGTTTTTCTGTAGGTCATTAGGGTTTTCTGCATATGTCATATAATGACAATTTTACCTCTTCCCTTCCAATTTGGATCCCTTTTATTTCTTTTTCTTGTCTGATTGCTGTAGCTAGGACTTCCAGTACTATGTTGAATAGAAGAGGTGAGAGTGAGCATCCTTGTGTTGATCT